TCTATATTGGAGTTGCGGAGTTCTTTCATCCGCTCATCCAATTTCAGATTGATGAGACCAGTTACAACAAAACTAGTGCATACATACGCATGGTAGTCCCGGCCGTTTTGTCGTCCCCATGGAGGCCCGGAACGCCGACTTCACGGTGTCGGCCGCTGCAGTAGGAGCTCCCCAGGCATATGTGCTAAATCCGCCTCAATGGCCCGAAGAACCCGTCCCACGCAATTATGGCGGCTCGGGTATTTCGGAGGGTATATACCGGTATGGTAAAATACCGGTATATATCCGGACCCGTTTTCCCATACCGGGTATTTTGCTTTTGGGCGACCCGTAGACGGGTACGCCGCGGCTGCCGGGCTCGGCCGCGGCGAGCCTGAGTCGCAGACCGCGGCCTTCGCGAAGATGGCCGTGGACATCCTCGGCGCGGTGACGCACGCGTGCGCTGTCGAGAGGATCAACAAGAGCCAGGGCATGGTCCACTCGGAGCGCGTCCAGCGCGTCCATCGCGTCTAATTGCTTCAAGAATCGCAACGATGCAGCTCCTGGGCGGTTGAACGGGGGGGGAATGCCATTCAAGGCAGGTCTTATTGTCCGAGGGGCTTTCCGAAGTTCGACCATTGTTCCCTGGCCATTGTTCCCTGGCCATTGTTCCCCGGCACTTTTGTTTCGAGCTGTAGACTATTTCTTGTGTATGACTCGTGCCCCATCTCCGCGCCCATGTCGATTGAGGAAGAGCTTTGGTGCATCTTCACGAATTATACGCTCAAGTCTAATCCAATGGAGCCGGCGACTCTACCTTCCCGACAGTTTCTCAAGTTGGCGAGGGAGACACAATTGGCGGTGACTGCCAGGGACCTGGCAGATGCACACATAGCAATCTCTTCACAGCTGTCGGTTGGGGAAACGTTTCGACGTCTCGGGCGAAAGGGCAAGGCTCTAACTTATAGCGATTTCGTAGCGGTTTTATTTCAGCTCGCGCCCAAGTGTCATCCTTCAGTAGACGCGAGCTTTGCATTCCAGAAGGTTTTACTCGAGAACGTGCTACCTCTAGCACAGCGCCGAAGTGTATATTCCGTGGAAAGCGTGCTCGCGGAGGACGAGATCAAAGACTTATTGGGGCGACAATTTGCAAGAGGAATCGATGGAATCTTTGATTGGTGTGTAACAATGGCTAATTCCTCGCAGCATGCAGCAGATAGGGGGGGGACTAACTGCTTCGATGCGCGCCACAATGCCAGAATTGGCTATACGGAGTTCCTTAAATTTTGCGAAACGTTCAAGATATTTGAAGGACAGGTGTCAAGGGTGGATGCACTGCTCTCAGTGCGGGCGGTGGGTGATGTGTATCTTGCGGCAACGCGAAAGCGCAACGCTTACGTCTCGGGTGCCTCACCACCATGTGTGCAGGATATGACGCGGAGCGATTTCGACGAGGCTCTTGTTCGCATCGCGCTTCATGCCTATTGTGGCCAAGTGTTCTTGCATCTGAGTTCAGCAACTAAGCTGCGCGCGCTTTTTCTTTATCTTTGGCGGGGCAGCGCTTCATCGGTACCAACCCAAACAGCATGGCTTGATGCCTTAACAGGCTGCGACGATCGTCTCGTCCGTGGTGCTGCTATTAACCCTCATGGCTCGGCCAACTTTAATGCAACCTTTCTGAAGATGTGGAAAACCGACGATTTTGCAGATTATACTAAGGATGGTGGGGTCATTTCCGAAAATGGCACGGTGATGTTGAATCGCATCATTGATCGAGCTGCCGACCTGACACCTGCTCAGTTTTCTCGTTTCGTTGATGATGGTGCCGCCCGCACCCATACCGGATTGAAGGAAGTCTCGAGCCTATCAAATGGAATCAATCTTGATCATGCAGCCAGGGCCGAAGTGCGTACTTCTGACATCAAGCGTCTCCTAAAAGACCGCCGGGACATCGCTGACCTGCTTCACTACCAAATCCTAGAAGGCAACGGGAGTGGCTGATTGAGCCAGGGACTAGCAACAGTTTTGTCATCCAATGGTCGATAAGCTGGCGTCTCACATTCAAGGTCTCCCGGTTCGCTTAAGTCCCCAACAAGGCACGTGCAAGTTTGGCCAGCGGACGCCCGGCGCAAGTCGAGGGTGATCTGCTTGCGCCCAAGGCAGGCAGCGCCAGACTATCCACCAACCCCCCGAAACTTCCGAGAACAGCAGGTCCGCACTAATGCGAAATTAGCGACACATTAGCGGCTTAAGAGGAACAACCCACTTGGGCTTCGAGGCCTGCAGACCCTATTTTTGGCGCGAGCGGCACGCTGTGCAAATTAGGTAGCTGGGCCTCGGACCTTAAACAGCACGCGGGCGTACCCAAGGGGCTTGGCCAAACGACGAGCCGCTGAGCTTCCTCAAAGCCAGACCCCCGAGCACCATACTTGAGCCATCATTCACCGTGAGTGAGCAGAACCGAAGGCCTCCGGCATTTCAGCTTTCATCCCGAATGCTAAAAGGCAATCGACTCCTAGTAACTGTGA